CTTTACAGCAAGTGCTCTTATCCACTGAGGCATCTATCCAATCCTGAAACATCTTTTATAACTTTTTGTAGGAACCAGGGCTTTAAGGCCATGTTTCTTTGTAGTTTTTTTTCTTGTTGTTGTTGTTCTGTTTTCTTAGCACTGTTCACTTTTGAACTTATGCCTTTGTGTTTAGAAAGGATCTCTGAAATTCTTTTGTCTTAATTTTTTTACTACTTTTTTGACACTTTTTTATTATATGTTTAAATTAGAAACGAGCATGTTTCCCATGCCAATCCCAGCTCTGCTCTCTCCCCTCCACGCCCACTCCTCCCCCCAGCCCTCTTGCAGCCCCCCACCCAACCAGGAATTGTTTTGCAGACTGACAGGGGTGGCACATGACTTTTATCCCAGCAGAGCAGATGTATTTCTCAGCGTTCCAGGCCAGCCTGGACTACAAGAGTTAGTTCCAAGACAGTAGAGGCTACACACAGAAACCCTTTCTAGAAAAATTAAAAAAAAAAAGAATTGTTTTGTAACCTCAGATTTACTTATACTGTAGCATGCTCTGTGTACCTTTGAAGAAAGTATATTCATCCTGCTGTTGGCTGGAGATGTCTATAGTGTTAACTTGGTCTGCGGTTTTATTTGAATTAGTTTATTGGTTTTTCTGAGTTCTCTATGAGTTAACTGGGAGTGTTGAAGTCTTTTTATAAAATGTCCTGCATATCAGTTTCTGTTTTAGGTTGGCAGTATTTTTTTTATATTGTTAAGAGTTCTCATGGGGTTAAATATATCTATAATTATTTTTTCCTGTGGCATTAACTGTTTATCATTATATTTTATCTACAGTTTTTTAGTAAGTTGTAACAAAGCCTGTTATATAAATTAATCCTACACTAAAAATGAGTGAAAAACAATATATAAGGCAATGGTTGGGGATATTGTCCCCTTGTGCTTCTTAAGTCAGTGTTTAATCTGTGTCTTAATTGACTGTGACAACTGCTCCAGTTAGAGGTGGGAATGATCATAATAGCTTCATCTGCCTCAGAGTTTATCTACCTCTCCTTCAATTTTGTTATTCTTGATTTTGGAGTCTATGTTAGTAAGTCAGTGTTTATATGGAATTAATTAAATATTCCAATAAATTGACATTTTAATCATTATGAAAAACTAAACAAATGATAAGGTACCACCACAGTCATTGATTTCTTCTGATACATAAAAAAAAACTTGGGCTGAGGGTATGGCTTAGTGGTTAAGTCCTTGCTACACAAGTATGAAGACCAAAATTGGGATCCCCAAGATGCATTTAAAGGTAGAGTATAAATAACAGTCTGCCCCTGCGTCAGTGAGTAAGATGGAGGAGCAATTCCTAACATTGTTGATTGTTCCTAACATTATTGATGAGCCTTCACCTGCTTATGTATGTGCACATGTTCCCACACATGAGCAAACTGTCATACAAAATGCACATCCCACACATAAACACAATTATTAGAAAGGAAAACATTTTCTCAATAGATTTATTAGGACAAAATTTTTGAAGTCTTTTTTTTATTTTCAGAGCTTGAGTTTGTGTATATTCATGCAAGTGTGTGTGTGTGTGTGTGTGTGTGTGTGTGTGTTTGCGCCTGCATGCATATGCACAGGCACACACCATGTGTGTATGTGTCTTGTATGCATTTATCTGTGTGTCTATATGTTCATTTGTGCATGTGCCTGTGGAGGTCATAAATCTGTTCCTAGGTTCTGCTTTGATTGCACTCTACTTTATGAAACATGGTCTCAAACAGACAATGACACTTAGCTACTTTGCTTGTTAGGCTAGTCAGTGAGCTTCAGGATTCTGCCTGGTTCTTCCCTACTCTGTTTTAGAATTACATGCATGACCATTCCTGATTTTTCACTTACATGTACGGGAGCTATCCTCACATCCTAATGCTATTGCACAACCATTTCACCAACATACTCATCTCCCCAACACCAATGTGTCCTTTTTGCCATCAGATAAAACATCTGATAAAACACTGGAACATATATTATGGTATACATTCCTCAGAAGATATGATATTATGAGCTCCTGGATGTTTATTTTATGCATTCTCTTGCAGTTCACAGCTTTTAAAAAGACAAATATCTTCATTAAAATTTCATAAGACTACACCCCTAAATGAAGAGCTAGAGGGTGTCAATGACCTATTAAACAGGTAGAATCAGTGTTCTCCAGAGAATACCACTGAAAGTTGATCCAGTCCCAAGCTGATCGCTAAACATGTACATGTGTACATCCCTAGATGAACTAGGTATCACACACACATGCGCCCCTCTACACACACAGACACACTATCAATCATAGTCAAAGAAGAAATAATGAATTTGAGAATAAGTTAGGACATGTATCTTGGAGAGTTTAAGCATGGAGAAAGCAAGGTAGAAATTATTTAACTGCAGTACTTGCACATAAAAAATGTTAAATTATTAAAGATGAAAGTGATAAAATTAAATTGTAGCATCTCTGCGATGCTGAAGAGCAAAATTTCCTCATTTCCCTGACTCAGAAAAGTAGAAGTCATTCTTTAGGATAATTCTTTTGTTATTATTTTTCTTAATTAGTCATTCAAAAAAAGAAACCTGCTCTTCTTTGATTTCTTCTTCTATCAAAAATAACTACCTCACACAGTCTACCTTTCCACAGCTCCCAGTGAGATAATAGAATGCCTCTAATTTGATGTTTTCATTTTAAAATATGTGTTCATAACATTTGACAAGCTTATTGTCTTCTGCTCTCGTTATTTTGAAGTGCTCCTGGTCTGTTTTGTTTATGAATTTTCTAATCTTATGGTGAATACAAGATTTGCTTTTTTGAGATGAGGTGAAATAAATGTTAAAATAATACAGCTTTATAAAACTAGCATTTGCTTTTGGAGAGGCATATTTAATTTGACTCTAAACCACAAAGTTCCTAAAAGTCATATTTTAGTAAGTTTGTTCTTTTCTTGAAATTGAAATAGAAGTAAGAATAGAATATCCCGGCATGAAGTTAAGCACAGTTGATCCTGGATCATGGGTCTCTTAACTTTTCAAGAATATGAGTCCTGGAGTTCCAAAGCTGTTCAAATAGAGTCTGAAGTATCTGGCAAAGCCTCTTCTCACTCACAGATAATAACCTACTGAAGTGTGCCAGATACAGCAAGGTCCTTTCCCCAGTTACTAAACAAGTGATTTCTATTGGGTCTGATATAAGTCTACCTGGATAGTGGTTTCTTCTTCCTATGCTCACCTAAAACAAACAAATGCACAAACAAAAAAAAAGACACCAATCCAACCTTTTGATATAGGTCTATAAAAATTCAGCCACAAATATTTTATAGTGACCTTAGTATTTTTTTCTTGAAAATGATTGACTCACTCTGAAACTGCTTTCTATATATATCTATAATTAAATATCAGTGTACTGAGTGTCAAAGCTCTCTTTAGACTTTAGTTGCTACAATGTGTCTGTTACAGCATCAGTTCTAAAATTATGACCTATATGATAATTTAGGCACATTTTAACACTCATAACTTTTCCTTACCATAACTGATACATCTTCAAACCAATTACAATGAAAGTTGAATATATTAGGCTGGATAAAGCCAAACAATTGCATTTTGAATAATCTATTCATAGGGAACTTCCACTGTGGTTTATTCGGGGAACACATGTAGACAACAAGAGTTTCTGAATTATATCTTCAGTTCCAAATACTCTTCAACAACATAGTAACATATGTGTGTGTACACATGTGGTTAAGTGTTGACAGTTGATTTGATGGCCGATTCCTTTTTGTGTCATGGAATAGGCAATCACAATGTACTTCTATATGGACCTTTATGTCAGTCCAAATTTGTTCTTTAATCCCTTTGAAATTTATTACTTGAACAGATTCACAATAGAATACATTTGTCATATAACTTTCATGGTTTTCTCCAAAAAAATTAGTTTTTCAAAATTTGCTGAATATTAATAAATGCTGTGAAGCATTTAATGCTAGGAAACACCTATGATAAAATAATGTCACTCAGTATTTCCTTTACTTGTATGGCTAAAAAGTAACTGGTACATTTATATTAAATCTATACAATATTTATGTAAAGATGTATTAACTCTGATTTGCGAAACATGCTGTGAGGCATCATTGGTGTGTGAATCCATTGCTATTTCTCTGAATTCTATGACAACTTCCTGTCTTGTTGATGAAACTGTATATTTTAAATATAATCTACTTAGGACTAAGCAAGTAGCCACTTTACAGAGAATGGTTTGTCATTACTTTTTTAATTCAAATAATAGAGTTGGAAATAGGAAACCTGCTTTCTACTTAAAATAATTAAACATCTTTACTTTCAGAGTCTATATCAAATGCAGGACCTAGAATGGCTTTGTTAACAAATTTTTTTTATGGCAAGTAAAACTACTTCCAGACTACAACAGAATCATCTTTATCTTCATATTTAGATTGCTATCAGGAACTTAGAAGCAATATATCATTATAATCAATATATATACTCAATATATAGTTAGAAATAAGGAGCAGGGTAATGTTTGATTCTATAAAATCAGGGAAATATTTTGGTGCTCAAAACCTTTTAGAAGACATTGACTTTGATACAGAGTTGAAACAACACACACTTTCATCCTTCAGACCCTCCTATGTGAAATATCCTGGTGTATATAAGGTTATATTTAAAATATTGGTAAATTTTGCAAATTCTCAGCACGACAACCAAATGGAATGTGAAAACTGGACCCTTGTTTTCCTATGAGTGTCAAGAGAGATGACATCTAGATTCACCTCATTTCCTAAGAAGTACCCTCCCCTCAGCAGATGATGCTTCCTCATTAGCATAACCACACATGAGTTTCCTGACATTGATGTTCCTGCAGCCCCTCTGTGTCTTTTGATTTATGCTTACACAGGAATGCGCACCAATATGATGTTTAAAGAATTGATAAAGCAGCATCTGGGACGCGATGATGTTATAAAAAGCTTTGATTCCATTTTATTCCTCAGGCTTAGAACACAAACTGAGAATTATTCAAATTAAACTCAGTTCCCAAACCTCAAAACTGGAACATGACAGCACTAGGCAGATTCAAACAGAGGCACAGTCCCAAAGTTTGCATAAGGGTGAGATCAGAAAACATCATATACCTTTTTGGGGGACATTATAGTCTAATAAATTTAAAGATTAAATGAAAAGCATCTATTCCTTCAAATCCTTTATATCTCACATGTTTACAAATTCCAATTTACCAGGAATATATAGATGAGGTAATTCTGAAGAGTAGTAAGTACCTTGATGTTCTATATACTTTTTTACATAAAGCCCCCAAAACAAGGTGAAGGAATATTCTTTTATAAAATTTAAAAAGCCCCAAGAAGTTATAAAGAAAAGGAGTTTATACGGAAAATATTAAAATTATTAAACTTGTTATTACATATTTATGTTTACAATAGCTTGACCCTTGAAGGTTTGAAAATTTTTTTTCATCATAAGATCATTATCTAGTGAAATGTATGCAAATATATATTTCAAAACTAATAGTATTGGTAAATTAAATATGTGCAAGTCTTCAGGTAGCAGAATACTTTGCACTTGGTGAAGTGGTTTTTATAACGCCCAATTTGTCCTCACAACAGCCCTGTGATGTAGGCAGGAAAGTTACTGCCATTTCTACACTGCAGTTGGGGACCTTGAAATTCAGACTACAGGTGATCTGTTCAGGAGTCATAAACATGATTTCTCAATTTCTTTGGCCTGTTCCTACATATTTTCCTATAAATACCAAAAGTGCAAGGACTAACCAGGGAAACTGAGAAAATATAAACCCACATGTAGAATGAAGGTGGATAAACAACAGGATATACCACAAAGTTATCAGACTAACCATGTGACTTACATATTATTGATGACTACCTAAGATGGAAATACATGAACTGTGGTGTAATTCAGTCTGCAGAAAATTTGACAACCAATTTCAGATATAAATGTACTAAAATGAATTGGGAATCAATAGAGAGAGAAAAAAAGAGAAACAATGAAAGAATTTCAATGTTTTATGCAGGACGAGGTTTGTAATAATTTTTTTTAAATCGAAACTTCCCTGACGTATCTGATTACCGGAGTCAATTCATTCCATCAATTTAAAAACAGAGAGAGTCCCCTGTTAACGTAAAGGATGATGGACAGGACAGAGACCTTGGTCTCCATGCTGAGAACAGTGCATGACCAGTGCACTGAAGTTGCATATGTTAGAGTGCAAGCAGCAAATCCCCATGCTCCATCAACTTTGTATGGAGAAAAGAAGTGGGGAGGGCAGAGGGGAATGAAATATTCAAGTCTATGATAGAGTTGCCTGGTTTGTTGGGTCTACATCAGGTAAATTTAAACACGATAATTTGATCTGCCACAATAACAGACCAGGGGTTTCAAAGATTCACCCAGAAAAGTAGCAAAGGAAGAGTGACTACCTCTGTATGTTTCCATGGGCAACGTGTTACACAGTAGGGATCTGATAGTGATATTAAGCCCACCCTCCTTTAAATTTTGCTTTAGGAAAAAGAAATCACAACATACTGAAATAAATATTCATTGTTTGGCTTAGTTCTGATATTCTTAATTAAACAGTACCATAGACTTTATTGAGCATTTTAAAATATACACAAGGAACAATAGCTTTTTCTCTGTATTTTTGTTTTTATATTTGACTTTCTTTCAATTAAACAACCCACTTTTGATCATATAAAGGGCACTTGTTTCTACAGGAGCTGTGTACAGCTTGCTCAGTTCCAAGTACTGTTTCTTCTCGACTTCCTTGTCATATTGAGGTCAGATCTCCACTTGGTCAGGAAGCAAATTCTACAAAGCTCCAAAAAATATTGACAGCCTAAGTTGTTCTTTCAGATTCCATCTCTCCATAGAGTTCTGCTAACTTCTTAAACTCTGGCCCCCAGTCTCCCAGGAAGTGATAATCCTGGTCTGATTGCGTGGTGGCTGAATCCAGCGAGCTGATAGATCCAGCTTCTGACCTCTGACCCTCATAGGCATAAGTCTGAAGAGAGTCATAAGGGGGCACACTTGGGTCCAGGTCTGCTTCTGTCAGTCTCTGCTTAATAAACTCCTGAACATCTATACTCTCCAGGGTGGACAATGTCTGGTGTCTGGGAGTGAGCTGCACTTCAGGCCGAATGTCTCTGCGGTACTTGAACTCCTCTGCAGCAGAAGGATTCCTCAAGGCCGTGATGTCGAAGGCCTCGGTGTCTTCTTCCCCTCCTCCTTCATCATCGTAGGTGACCACGTTCTCCCTCACATCCTCCTCTGAAATGATCAAGGGCTCTTTTTTGCTGCGCCTCAGGGTGATAAAAAGGACCACAATGGCTGGAGAAAAATGGAAAGAGGGTGACGTTAGTAGAGAGAAGAGAATGCTTGGACTTTAGGTGTTAGTATTTTCCAGCCCCTGTGTCCTATTCCTTCTTGAGTTAGGGCTTCATTGCAACACAACCTTGATCTGCACGCTACGGAATGAGCCAACAGACATTTGGATACTTTGGAAAATGTCTAACTGATAGTTTCATAAAACCATGGTAGATTTGCCAATTGTGTGAAATTATTTTGTTGTCTTTTGCTATCTGTGTCCTGACACTCGTTGCATTATTAGCAATAACCATTCATTGTCTAGTGTGACAGAAAGAAATCTTTGACTGTAAAAAAATCTGTGTTTCTAAATTACAAATAATTACTTCGTATAAATATGCAGAAGGCAGGAACTATTTCTATAATATAGGTAAACCTCATATTGTCAAATAAAGCTAAAAATATTTTTACTTTAATTGCATACAACTTATACTCTATAGGAATTGTTCACTTTGTGATATTCTTATAACTTACATATTTGTCACAGCAGAGTTTTAGTTCTACACATTTATAAAATGAAGAAGGAGAGAATAAGGAGAGAGGAAAATAAAGTCACAGTCAACAGATTTATTGAAAAACATGCTAAGTAGAAGAACTAAGAGAATGGGTAATGATGTCAAGTCCCAAAGAAGATGGTATTTGCAGTAAAATCTCCCCACTCCATGATCCAGACATTGTGTACACATGTTATGCATATCCCCACATATTCAAGCATATGAAAAACTGGACTGTGCCTCAGAGCCTCTCACAGAAAGAAACCTTGGCTCTTGGATTTGGCACTTTAGCAAAAAGAAAGGAGATTTCAGTTAAACTTTGTTATAGAAAGCATGCACTCAAAAAAAGGAAGAAGTAAGCAACACTGTTACAGATATGGGAGGATCATTTGTAGTCTTCACAATGTAAATGTTTCAAGATTTATGTGTCTTACATATACATAATGGAATGTGAAAGATAGTACTATGTTTCTTAAGCTGTAGTTTCTTATATGTGTCTACTATGCAAAAGTTTAAAAAATATTCCTGGTAAGTCTTCTTTCGATTTGTTTATTTTAATTTTATGTGTATAAGTGTCTTTTCTGCATGCATGTTAAGTAAACTGAACGGGTGCCTGTGGCCCATGGACAGCAGAAGACAGTGATGGCACTCCTGTTATGTGTTTCGTGGGTGCTGGAAAATAAACCTGTGTTTTCTGCAAGAAGAGCAAGTACTCTTAACTGCTGGGCCACCTGTCCATATACTCAAGATATGTGTTTTTTTAATATAATAGTAGTTATTTGAACTTTGAATTAAGGTTTTTAATATAAGAAAGGATTACCTGATGGTAACCTGTGACTCCCGTATCAAGTATCAAATACATACACACATAACAGTAAAAACCAAGATGATTACACAACCTACATAATTTTCAGAGTGAAATGGGAGGCCATTTATTTGTAGGACATTATATCTTTAATTACAGGCTACTTTGCTACTCTGTTAATTCAAGGGAGGATAACTGACATAAACAGACTAGATTGTGGTCCTGGCTGTTTTCATGTCTATTTGTCAAACAGTTATTGTTGCAGCAGGTGACTTTAAGTAAATTCTCCACATTGATTCTTGGTGGGGGTAAACAAGAAAAATTTCCATGAAAGCAATGGGAGGCTGGGTGATTGGAGACTCCTTGTGGTATAAATAGCCTTTCTAAGAACATAACTGTTAAGTGTTCCTACAAAATTATTTATGATTTACTATTAGTACTGTACTTCTAATTGTTCTTGGGAACATTTAGAGGCCTTGAAACTGTAACTAAACCTATCCATTAAATCTTATGAATAAAAGAACATCATTTTAAGAACACGAGTGAAGACAATATATGGAGACATTAAAGAGGCAAATAACTTGTTGAAAACTTGGAAACCAAATGAAAATATTCAAAAAATTCACCCAGCCTTTCAAATAATGTATATAATGTGAGTATGCTATTTTATAATAACTCATGCAAACTTTTATAATTTTATATACCATATATACTAAAAATTTTATATACTTGCCTTCTTTGTTTACAATTATAAATCATCCTGGGATATTGGAAAGCAGAGTTTAGTTGTATAACCTAGCATGGAATCTAGATGGTTGCTATAATTTTCTAATGGTACCACTCTTTAGTACTTCATCCTTAGTAGATTTCTTTTTTCTACATTAGTTTCAAAGTTACCAAAAATTTGAAATGATTGGTACTGTTACTTAAGTAATTTTGCGATATGTTTTGATGGTGCTCAAGCCTTGTCAAACTTCTATGTAGCATAGGATGACCCTGATTTCCTGATCCTCCTAGACTCTTCTCAAACAACTGAGCTTCCTGATACGTTCTTCCATGCCTGGAACCCAAACTCTGCACTTTGTGGACACCAGCCACCCATTATACACAAGCTGCTGCCTTTGGACACTAATATTATATAGTTAAAATTATCTATTTAGTGTCATTTTATGAGTTTAGGTGCTTTGAAAGCATGGAGGTTTGTGCAACACTTTTATACAGTGCCTCCAGAGCTGTTCTGCTTCATTTATTAATTTCAATCCAAGGAAACACAAGTTTAGGTAACTATTTTTTGTACTGGTTTTTCAGATTATTTTCCTATCAGTTATTTATCATCCCCATATTTGGATTGCTCAGGGGTTTCCAGATTTGTACATACCCGTTTTGTAACTTGCATTTTCTTTTATTGAATGTTGAATCACAACACACTCCCAGCTAATAGATAACATCACAGATGTGTTTAACTCAAAATGTCTGTTAATTCTTTTATATGCCAAAAATATCTTGATATTGAATGTAGCAGAAATGAGCTATCACAATCCTAGTGATTATTTTGATTAGCTTCCCAAATGTTATTGGCAGCTACTTGGTCATGGATGTTTTCACGGAAAAACTTCCAACTTGGACAACAAGAGTCTCTCATGATTATTTGATTGAGAACAGATTGACAGTGACTACTCAGCCTTCCTCTCTTCCTCACTTTCCTTCTTTATCGTCTCCTCAGCTTCCACCTCCCCCTTTATATCATTCACGGTTCATCATATTTCTCACATCACCTAGTCTATCCTAATCTGTATTTATTCACATTCAAGATAATGGAGCAATCTGAGCAGTGGTCCCAGTAAAATCATGTGCTCTCATGTGACCTTGGAGACAGGAAAGGTGTCAGAATGCTGAATGTGTCACTGTGACAAGATGAAGGCTAGGAAATTTCCTTGGTGTCTCTGGGAAATGAGAAGAAGAGGTGGAAAATTTAATTACAGTCACCTCAGTGAGAATGGGGAACACCTAATTCAAGAAATGAACTCTAAATGGTTCAACTCCAAATGGTCTCCCACTCATTAATCCGGTAAAATATGTTTTTAAAAACTGCACTCAAATGAGAGAGAGAAAGAGAGACAGACAGACAGACAGAAATCATGAAGTTGGATGCATAGGAGGTTGTGAGGATCTAAGAGGAATTTTGGCATTGAAAAGAATATGATCCAGCAATAGTTTATGAAAAATGATTAAAATTATTTAAAAATGCTTAAGATTTAAAATTTGGTTACAAGAGAGAGTGACCTGACTAAAAAACATGTATACGCATCATTTAAAGTTCATCTCTGTGGATGATAAACACTATTGTCCAGTGATGAGTATGATGTAAATAGGATATAAGCAGAAGTTAAAGCAAGTTAACTTGAAATTCCACAGACATAAACATCATGAAATTTGGTAGATCACATTAATATCTTCTGAGCAGACATTTCATTTTCACGTGTTCAGACACAGAAAAGAATTTTAAAGGAAAGAACGCTGAGCTCATAATTAATGATTGAATTGGAACTAGCTTTATATAGGGCCTTACATTTTCATAAACATAAAACCACAATTTTCAATATTAGGATATTAATTTCACAGTTAAATTGGCTTTAAAGACAGACTATTAGAATTTGGAATCATAAAATAAAATTTTAATTTACAAAGTATTACTCATATCTCCTATGAAAACTCAGAGTAATTAGAAAAGAATTTTAGTTATAGACGACTAAAGTCTGTCTAGTGACCTTTATTATATGAATAGCAATAATTCAATAAAAAGTATAAATTAAAATTGATGATTATTGAATGGTCGTATGGATTATAGTTCTACAATATTTACCAAAAAGTTTAAAAACATTTTATTTTAGATATAAACATTTCAAATGTCTTTGTTCATTCTTCTTGAACATAGTGCAAATTAGTTATGTTAGTTATCTTGAACAAGTGCACAATTAGTTGTCTTAGAGACTAAAATACGTAAATAGAGTATTATTAAAATATTTTTGTATAATAAAAGATTATGTAAAATAATGAAATGTGGAAACATAATTTACTTCAAAATTTCCTGAACATCTGCCAGGCAGTGGTACAGCATGCCTTTAATTCCAGCAATCGGGAGGCAGAGGCAGCTGGATCTCTGTGAGTTTGAGACCTGGTCTTCAAGAGCTAGCACCAGGACAGACAACAAAGCCACAGAAAAACCCAGTCACCAAAAACAAAACAAAACAAAACAAAAAACCAAAAATTTCTGATCATCAAAGCACTCCAACCACTACAGGATGTTTATCTTAAGATGTGATCATATGATTATAGTTATATGACAATAAATAAAAATGTAAGTGAAGAAAACATGACTCCCTAAATGAGTTATCTTTTATAACAAGGCTTTAGGAAGAATTCATATAAATATTGAAATTGAATTCTCTGACATGTCATGAAGGTCACTAGCTTCTATTCGTGCCATTGTTGTGTTCTCCTATTTCCTCTTTGTGCTTGTGTGTTTTAATTTTTCAATGCCTAAGGAAAATAACAATTTTACAGTGTACATGTGAACACAATCTGAAAGGTCTGATTTTCCCCACTTTCTTCTCCTCTATGTATTCCTAAAAGACTAAACATAAAAGCTTAATGCAGCAGGTCTTGTTACAAAGAATTAGGTCGTACTATAATGCACTAAGACACCATTTGCGATGTGGCTGAATGTGATCAATAGTTTTGAATACAGTTTTTTAACCTCTAAGTTGCTCCAGACAATATCAGTAGACCTGTTGTATAATACATTTGTCTGTTTTCTCTGCCACCATTTTCTCTTTTGACTTTAATGACACTGTTACTGATTTTCTTTCCCACAGTTCCTCCCTCTCTTTCTTTTTTTCCTGACTTCTTTACTTTTCCTTGCTCACATCTTTCTTTTGTTTCCAATCTCAATATGCTTGCACCAAGGTCATTCCTGTTCTTTCCTACCTGAGTGCCTTCTTTTGCTTTATCACTTGCGAAGATGTGTTTCTCTAATGTGCAAAGCTCATCAAGACTCAGGACATCCTCAGCAAGACACAGTCTTCCTTGATATCATCCAGACTCACTCAAATATCTAAGTATCATAGGTTATTTGACTTTTACCCAAAGATATCCACTGCAAATTTTTCTTTCACTTGACTCAAATTATGCTGATAAATACCATATCAAAGAATTCCTAGTATTAGTATCATAAAAGTTCATAACAAGAAATCCATGATGTTGTGTTTGTTAACCACATATGCATTCCTTATGTGTCAATTGCTTCACAAAGTTCCCATACTTATCACAATTGTAGCACTTACCAAGCAGAATGAGAACACAGAGAAGAATAGCGATTAGGGCTCCTGTGCTCAAACCAGCGGAGGACAGGAAGGCTTCTGCATGGCAGGTCCGCACACGCCCATCTCTCTCGCATGCACAAACCCTTATGGTGAGGGTGCTGCTGCTGCTGAGAGAGGGGATTCCACCATCAGAGATCATAATGGGCAGATAATACACATCCTGCATAGTTCGACTAAATCTCCTCCGCCTTGTCAGAATGCTGGCTGTGTTATCTATGACAGACATAAGCAAAACAAAATAGACTTAGTAAATCTGCCATTAAAATTTCACATTTCCTTTAATGGATACAACAGGTGTATATATTTTTTTCACCTTATAAAATGGACACTACAACATGAAGGGGCAATTATTAAATGAATAGCAAATACTGGTCCTCAAATTGAGAAACATATTTGAAAACTTAATAGACCTCACTTCAGGGAAAGTAATAGAGTGGCATAATACAGAAGAAGGTAAAACAACAAAAACTTTGGACATAGACAAAGTAGCTGAAAGCAATTAAAATGTGAAAATGGCATGAAGCCAGTAGAGAGTCATTGGTAACTTCAAAAACAGAAAGAAAGTGGTAACAAGAGATTAGGCAGACGCTTCTATTTAACAAACTATCCGGGTAACTCTACTTCCATTGATCTTGAATGCAGAGCGAAGCAAGACAGCAAGACTCTTGATGAAGAGACCACATCTTTATAGAGAATGCCAAGGAACCAAGCTGAAATTGAACCTGAACTTCTCCCCCACTGTCTTTTATACTCATGGAAGTTGCTATGGAGGCTGTGGTAAGGAAACATTAGTGACCTTACCTAGTTGTGGCCCTGTGTGCCACAACACTGAACCACCTGTTAGTTTGCACTTTGATGAGGATAAACACTAGACTTGCAGTTAATTGTGACTGATAGTGAAAGAAATCAAAGACACATTTATGGTACTTTGAGTTTTTTAATAGAAGTTTTATGAAATGATGACATAAAACTTTTTTTCGGCTAAGGCTCTAACTTCTGAAAAGACAAAAGATTTCATGAAGCAATAGCCTCTCACCTAGAATGGTAGAGTAGAGTAGAGTAGAATAACAAGCTCATGACAAAGCAAAACTCACTGAACTTGAGCAACAAACTGTGAACATCAGTAATCAACATCAAAGTTGGAAAAAATATAGAAACTCACAAATTAAGATATATGCTAAATGGCAATAAATTTGTGCATAGATTGGTAAATATATGGCCAAGGATAATAGACAGACATAGAGGGAGATATAAATAAAGAGAATATAGAGATCTCAAGTAAAGATAAATATTAAAAGCATTTGCTATATATGCATATATACTCTCTTCATTTAAAAGATTAAAATATCACACACAAATTATGTCTACTGTTTTAAAAGTGGCATTTGAACCCTATACTATGAGTGTAGAGCATCTCACTTAATATGCCAATAAATATAGAAGAAAATATGACAAAGAATATTGAGATAACAAGGAGACCACATGTCAGGTGTAGATTTAGATGAGCAGAATGTCTCTGAGTAATTCTAGAAACTGGTAAATTTCTTTCAGAACATAATTTAGGTGACTGTGTTTGCAGGAACAGTATTATCAATTCAGTGCAGAAATACCAACACATCTGCTTTACCTCTTCAAAATAGTACAATTTTTATTCATTACAAACTAATTTCTTATTCAGAAATGAATATGCAAGTCTATTCGGGGAATAAGTACAGATATATAATTTGATGTGGAAAAGGTAAAATATTGTTACAACTTAGAAATAGTGAAATTCAAAGCCTTTGAAATGGAATAATATCAAATACAATAGTTTATTTATGGAGCTTTTTAATGCCAGGAATCTCCGTAATGGATAATTTTCATGACTATATCTGTAATAAAATATATTGTTGAATTAAAGATTGTCTTTCAACCTCTGCTTCAGTGATAATAGAAGGCTACATAATAGGAATAGTACAATGCAAATTGCTATTGGACATAGAATTTGGATATAATTTATTGAGTTAATTTTATGAACATCATGTTCCCATACATCTTAAAGAAAATCCCACATAGTGGATCCTAATACCTGACTACATTCAGTAAATTAGATCGACTTAAAGTTAAAATGAGACGTGCTTTAAAATATTTTCAGTGGCTAGTAAAAATCCATTTTAAATCCAACATATCTTAGAAAGTATGAAAACCATGTATTCCTGAAGGTAAAAAGCAATATATACACAGATTCCTAGCCATTTCAATGAATTCTTTGATTTATAATGAAGTCTGAAATGTATTTTTTTAAACAGAGGATAGTAAAACAGACTGTAGAAACAATCTTCCTAAAACCCACACCAAAGCAGAAACTTTTGAGATTCTCAGCAGTGTGCCACTAATTAGAGCTCAAGTTTAGGTTTCCTTTGTTATTTATCTGAAGGCAACTGAGAAGAAATGCCTCATCCAGTCAGATGAATAGGCAAGGTTTTTACATTCTCTGCGTTCCCCCTTTCAAGAGCAACTGTCAGAGTCATTCATAATTTAACTCTTAGAGCCCACACAGGAAATGATTTTTGTCTGGGTTTCCTGTGAAGTTTCACTTACATAATATGTTTTGAATGAACTTAGCACAGCATGAGCTTGTTTTCTATTGGTTTCTTATTATAATGTTATGGATTGTAAAACAAAATTCAAAACGGACTAACCTAAGGTACTCTCTGTCCACAGCATAATCTGCTAGACTATCTTGTGAAGACTCACTCCTCCTTTATCTCTTTCCTTCCCCTTTCAAAATATACCCAAAAATGACTAAAATCTCAGTGTTTCCACCCCGGACTCTGTCTCTTCAAACATCCTGTGGCCTCACTTGTTTGTCTGCCAAAACACCAATCTACCATCCAACATGTCAGTATGTTCTTATTTGCACACTGTAATGCCATTCCTTTGACCATCTGCCACCCTTCTTCATGAACCTTTAAATTACAAATAAACACAGCAGTATAATAAATCTGATTTTATATTCGTAAATAATTGTGATAAAATTATATAGTATTCTGTATACCTTATTCATGTGTTTTATAGATAAAGCTTTCATAGGAGACTAGAAATCAATAAAACTATTATTATAAAATAACATAGGACTTCTGAGAGTTTCTTTCCTGTTTTTTGTCTGGCTGTTCTATCACTCTCATGAAGAAAAGAAAGCATCTTTCTTGCAAAAAGACGTAGAAGATTTTATCAACACTTCGGTAACAATCTTTGAAACTCTATACTCCATTTTGACAATTAATTATACAGAAGGTTATATGTATAAACAACACTGTATACAAATCATGAAGAAGAAAATATAATTATATATGAATCAAAAATGGATGTCCTGAGTATTAATTTAGGAGATGGATAAAATAAAATATTAGCCAGCAGGAGAGTGAATGCCAGTTCATACAGGCACTGAGGAGGCAGAGAGGAATGAGGAGGTTCATAGCCAGCTTGGATCATAGACAGGTGAATCTCCATGAATTATATTGACAGACATGTCTCAAGAAGAAATGAGGAGAAGAAAAGAGGGTACTTAAGTACAGGGCTGTTGTGTGTTCAAATTTAAAACCCAAACACTGAATACTAAATAATCCATAAATATGGCATTAAAAATTAATGATAGAAATCGGGGTAAAAGTAACTGTGACAAATGTTTGTATATGAACTCTCAAGGGAATTATATTTAGCATTAAAATAATGATTAGGATGAGTCATTGCAGAAGAAAAAAATTATTTAGTAACTGAAGGATGTTTAATCCCTGAAGAAACTCTTTAGTCTGTTTTGGTGAATACATATTTTTATTCTTTAAATTTGTTGAAACACAGCTCACAGACTCCAGAGTGACAACTAGGAGTTAAGCATAGGACTGAACTAGGTCTCCTGAATATAGGTGTCAGTTAAGAGGCCTGAGAAATCTATAGGGCCTCTGCTAGTGGAACAGCATTTATACCTAGTATACGAATGGACTTTGGGAGCACATTCCCTATGAAGGGCTACTCAGGAGGCAAGGCCTAGGTCCTGTCCCAAATGATGTGGCAGACTTTGATGATCCCCAATGAGAGGCCACATCCTCCCTGGGGAGTGAATGGGGGTAGAATGGTGGAACAGTGGGGAGAATGGAAGGATGGGATGGAGGGGACACTGGTGTTAGTATGTAACATAAGATTGTTTTTTATTTAGCCGGTTGTTGGTGGCACATGCCTTTAATCCCAGCACTCGGGAGGCAGAGGTAGGTGGATCTCTGTGAGTTCGAGGCAAGTTCCAGGACAGCCTCCAAAACAATACAGAGAAACCCTGTCTCGAAACACCAAGAAACAACAAAAAAGATTGTTTTTTATTTAGATAAAAATTAATTCAAATATTTTTGAAATGCTCATTGGCATTTATGAAAATGTTGGGTCAGATTGCACCTACAGCGTCATGTCTCTATGTAATGTGTAAGAAGCAATAAGAGGGCCGACTATGTCTTGAAGAAAACAAAGCAACATGTAAGGAATGCTAAAAACAGAGTTTTCATTTTTTGTTTATTTTGTGATTTTTCTTAAATTTTGTTTTCTTAGAGCATGAGTCAGCTTTCCTTTTGTTCTCATTGTGAGTGGGAGGGAAAAAGTGAGAGACAGCGTGGGTTAGCAAACCATGGAGGCAGAAGTGGATGAAAATGACTGCATATAAACAACACAAAAAAAATCAGCAATGCTTGAAACCTTTAGAGAGAAGAAAAGCATATCTTTCTATGTATACCAAACTATCTATTAAGACTCCTTGCTCCATGAGAAATTCGCACATTCCTACTTGGGGTCAAATGGTGCACACACTGTTCAACTTTGTAGCATACAGGCTCTCTACGTCCATGGAAACAAGACAGCACTGTTCTGTCAGGTGAAGCCAGATAAATGTTAGTAGATGGTGACCCTGCCACTTGACTTGTAGGGGAAAGAGAGCCACAGCAGAATAAAAACATGTCCTAGCTCCTTCTTGACAGGAGTTAAGTGACTCAGCAGGGCACAGTGACTGCCACATCCATTAGAGGATGTCTGATGCTTGCTTTGTAACTTAGGGGCGATTATGTGTGCACTATTTTGTTTAGGAATGGGAGAAATTACTAAATGTTTTCTTGAAACCCCGTGGATAAAAACAGAATTTTAAATGTTTATGCTCGATGGAGAAATTAAGCACATTACAGCACCAGCTGCGAGTT